AGAAACATCTACATTCCGCTGGGAGATGGCAGAATGAGTCAGTAAGGAGATAAACCAGTTACAAGTTAAAAGATACAGTGACTAACTAAAAGTGTTAATTTTCTTTTAAATTAGATACTTACGTATTAAAGCAATTATTTTTAAATGATGGAAATGATGTACAACTAAAATACTGTTTATATAGGAAGCCACTAGAAATTAATTATAGCTAATATGTATTGAATGTTTTCTGTGTGTTGGGCATTCTTCTAAGTGCTCAACATACATTAACTTATGTTTACCCTTCATCACAGCCATATAAGGTAGTATCCTCATTTTACAGATTAGAAAAAGGAGGCATAAGATGTGGTACATATATACAATGGAATATTACTCAGCCATAAAAAGGAACAAAATTGGGTCATTTGTAGAGATGTGGATGGACCTAGAGACTGTCATACTGAGTGAAGTAAGTCAGAAAGAGAAAAACAAATATAGAATATTAACGCATATATGTAGAACCTAGAAAAATGGTACAGGTGAACTGGTTTGCAGGGCAGAAATAGAGACAAAGACGTAGAGAACAAACGTATGGACACCAAGTGGGGAAAGTGAGGGGTGGGGGTGGGGGTGGGGGTGTGATGAACTGGGAGATTGGGATTGACATGTATACACTGATGTGTATAAAATAGATAACTAGTAAGAATTTGCTGTATAAAATATAAACAAGATAAAATTCAAAAAAAGAAAGAAATAAAAAAAGAAAAAGGAGGCACAGACTAGTCAGATAACTTGCACAAATCACACAGCTACTGACAGGCAGGAAAGGGACTGGAATTCAGGCAGGACAGCTCCAGGGCTCATTCTTTAACCTTTATGGGTAGGTATCACTATGGTATACTTTGACATTTGAAGGTCTTTTTGAGTCCATTAACATTAATCACATATAAAGAAATTTTTTCAAAACTGCATAGAATTATTATTAAAATGCTTCCACAACCAACTTTTAGGATTAGATGACCGAATCCAATACATTACTTCATTTAAACCACTAGTACCTAACCTAATCTAATTTTCCATATAATCTATCTTTTGGCTTTATTATACTTCCTGATAAGTGCAACTGGGTACCTCTTATACACTTAGCATTGTGCCCGACAATATGTCACTAAAAGTACTTTCCATAGACTAGATCTGTGATGTTTTATTCATATGAGTGTGCATTAAAGTAATTCTTCTACTTCTCAAGTACTGAATACAATTATTCAACAGACATTTGAATACATAATGAACACCAAGTAGTATGGATACAAAGATAAATTAGATGGTTTCTGCTCTCAAGGGAGGCCACAGTTACAAAACAATGAAGCAAGTGCTTTTATGGAGCGATGACCAAGGTTCCAAGGGAACAGAGTTCCCCCAGCATGACAAGGATGAGGGCAGTTCCATGTGCAAAGGCATGGAAATGTAAAAGAACATTTTCCTCGTGGGGAATGTCAAGCTATTTAAGTAGGACTACAATGCAAAGTTTAGAAGGAAAGCAAGGGAAAAGTGATAAGAGATGAAGGATGAAGCTGGAGCTAGATAAAGAAGTCTTGTAAGTCATAATATAAAAAGACTCAAGCATCTCAAGGATTTAAGCGGGACACTGATAAGATCAAATATGCTAACAATAGTGGTTAACACACTTTTTATTTTAAACAATAGTACCCTGATTTCATGAAATCTTATGCAAACATCCACACTTAAAATTGATCAATGTAGGGCTTCCCTGGTGGCGCAGTGGTTGAGAGTCCGCCTGCCGATGCAGGGGACGCGGGTTCGTGGCCGGGTCCAGGAAGATCCCACATGCCGCGGAGCGGCTGGGCCAGTGAGCCACGGCCGCTGAGCCTCCGGAGCCTATGCTCCGCAACGGGAGAGGCCACAACAGTGAGAGGCCTGCGTACCACAAAAAAAAGAAAAAAAGAAAATTGATCAACGTAAAACTGCACTGGTAGAAATTGGAATGAATATGCTTGGAATGAACCCTTCACAGAATAGTTTCAAAACCACTGCTTTTCAAAGGAAGAATTAATATAGCCACACAGTTGCGTTTTATTTACTTTATGCCTCTCCCAATGTGATTCTAACTTCTCAGGTGCCAGGATTCATTCTCATAGTTTCTCTTCACTCATAGAACTAGGAATACATAGAACTAAGCAAATAGTACTAGGCCTTCAAAATCAATGACAAAAGTTATAATATAGAAAAAGGAAGATAATCAGCTTTTTCACTTATGAGTTAAGCTATAATTTAAGTGACTACATTTTCTAACCTAAAAGTTAGGATTTATGGTTGGACAAATACTAGTGTATTTATGGCCACAGAATATTCAAAACTGGTACAGTGCTGGAAAATATAGGATATATGATTGTAACTGGTATTAAGTAATTTTTTAAAGATTGGTATACTTGTTTTCTTAACAATGACTTTGTACCTGAAGATGCTTCCCCATCTACCCCTTGAGAATCTGTTCTGCCACCTTATAGAATCTGGAGCTCTAAATAAGATCTCTGAAAATGACCTTCAGTGTGAAACTGCTTATCTTCCTCATAGCCATCTAATATGTTCCCAGCAATAACATGTAAAACTGATTAAAGATATGCATATGACTCTCCTGCAATTCACTAGTCTTGATTCTTCACAGTGAGATGTGCTAATAAAAAAAGCAAGATAACCCTTCTATGGAAAAAGTATATAATGATTAATTTAACATGTTTTATATCAAAACGATTATACTCACTTCATACAACTTAATCAAATCCCTATAATCCTTCCCTCTACCCTTCTCCTTTCCCACTGTGCGGAACATAACCACTTACACAGTCTCAAGAATTTTTAAAGTATCATCCGCTTAAAAATAGACGGATTAAAAACAAATGTTCAAAACAATGTTTAACACATATTAAAAGAAAGTTAAAGAACAATCTCACTTTTCTCTATCACATAAGATACCAACAACCACCCTGGGCCACTCTTATCATGCGTTAAAAGTTCTCTCATAGCATGTGGTTCAAAGCCAACCAGTGACAATTATTAAAAGGAGGAAGAGGGGAAACAGGCACAGGATACAAATTAAATTCTTCAATATATCATTCGACCAACATGTACAATATATTCACTTACAGACATGTTTAAGAAATGGTCCTTAAACAGAAACAATGTAAACATTACTATAAGGAAAATACCTTCTCCGTATGATATAGCAAACTCAGCCCAAAACTTAGTATTCAATGCATCATTTCGGGGCACACTCTACACTCCCTAAATTTGCAAAAATAGCCAACTATTCTGCTATAAATTTGTTTGGGATGAAGATAACGCTCTTCATTATAGTAAAATAAATTTTACCACATGCAGTTTAGGGAAGCTGCTTTTTTCAAATATAAAAGTCTGAGGATTCTCAAATAATCATTAAGAACAAACTGACTTATAAACAAAAGCTTTTTATAAATAAAAATATACTTAAAGTAATCCTACAAAAACGTACAAAGAGTCCTCATATGTAACTATCAAAACACTACCCAATATCAAACATTTAACTATACACATTTAACTACTGATATATATTCAAGTAGAAGGTTTCAGAGTAAAATTTCCATGTCTTTTCCACTTAGGGGCAAGTTTTTTGGAAAAATATTCCACAGACAAATAGATATTTTTTAAATAGACTGTACAACCACTATGTTGATTTTAACAATACCTCAAGTAAAGTTAACTTAGAACAAATACTAATAATAGTTAGAAATATTAAATTATATACAATGTTAAATTGCCATTGCCTTAATACAAAGAAGTTCATAAATTATCTTAAGATAAATCTATATTTTTCCCTAGTTTGTGAAAACTGCAATAACCTTTCTATTAAGAATAACTTCTGATTAAACCACCCTCAATAACTGAGATTCAAACAATCTCCCAGATGGAGCAGCTGGGAGAAAATAAAGAGGACAGTTTTAAAAAAGAACTTTGATGCTGTAGATAAGATGATACGACATTAAAAACCAGTGTGACTGGAGTCTGCAAAATATAAATACGTAACAGTGAAAGAAAACCCTTTAAGGCCAGTGAGGAAAATGCAATTTACAGGATCATCTATGACTAAAATTCTGAGCTCAGCCTTTCTTATTTCTAAAATTTTTGCCCAAATTTCTGCAGATTACAAAGTCTAAAAACTTAAAAAAATCCTATATAGTGGACTTAAACATACTTATTAGTATTAGGTAATGTTTTATGCTTAAGAAGTCTACCAAATACTATTTAAAAATCCAATTTTACATAAAGTATGTTGCACTACTGATTGCATTTTATAGAAAAGAAAAAGTAAATGACATTTGAAAGTGACACTGGGTTAAATAATAAAGAACATAAATCAGCCTTAAGTTCCAATTAAAATTTCTAATCATTATTTCTATTCTCACAGATCTTGGCACAAATATTTTAAAATGCAGTAGTCTACTTATTTTTTTTGCAGGTGTTTAAAAAAATTTTAAATTACATTCCCTCAATAATGATAAATCCAAGTAATGAAATTTTTACCTATGCTCTGAATTAGCAATTCTTTGAGACAGTTCTTTGAAATTAAAAAAAACAAAAAACGAAAAAAACTTGAAAACATTTCTTTTAACATCACAACTTCAATCTTCATTTTTTTTTAAAGGAATAACTGTTTTTTGTTTTTTTTTAATATTTATTTATTTATTTATTTTTGGCTGTGTTGCGTCTTCGTTTCTGTGTGAGGTCTCTCTCTAGTTGCGGCGAGCAGGGGCCACTCTTCATCGCGGTGCGCGGGCCTCTCACTATCGCGGCCTCTCCTGTTGCGGAGCACAAGCTCCAGATGCTCAGGCTCAGTAGTTGTGGCTCACGGGCCTAGTTGCTCCGCGGCATGTGGGATCTTCCCAGACCAGGGCTCGAACCCATGTACCCTGCATTGGCAGGCAGATTCTCAACCACTGCACCACCAGGGAAGCCGCAATCTTCATTTTTACTCATTTGTTCAACAAAGGAACTAACAGCCTATACTAAAAAAAATCAATGGTATCATTCTAGCTGTTCCCTTAATTTTTATAAAATTCAATTATGTTAAGAGCAATAAAACTGTGCCTGTTATCCGAAAGTTGTGCTCTCAACCCATATTCAACATGAAAATAATTTCTTGCTTTCCGTCTCATGCACAAGAACAAAACAAAAAACTATTAAAGTGCTCAAAAGATACTCTGAACACATATACTCACATGCTTAGCTCTTAACCCTTAAATCCCTTCTCTAGGAATAAGACTTCTCTAAAATTGGGGAGGAAGGGTGTCACTCTTACACAGCCAGGCATGAATAGCATAAAGCAAAGTAAATTTGATTGATTATCCTTAATTAAGTTTGTATCCAGTTCCTCCCTTTCCCCCTTATCCCACCATAAAGTTTGAGCTAACTCATAAGCAAGTTCTACTCATATTAACTCACATTCCTTTTTTCAAAGTCATCAAAGTAAAATGATTTCAGAATGAAAACTCCCCAAGTACTTCATTCAATATCTCCTGCGATTTCAAATAAACCCAACTGCACTAAAAAAGAGAGAAAAAAGCTCCCTTGAAAGTCAGAGTATGCAGCTTTTCTTTTATCAAAATAGATTTTTCACAAGTGACCCAAACACAATTACAGCTTAGGAAAATCAAGCCTTTAATTCTGAAGAATAATTTGCACCTAGAGAAAAATTCAAGGTGATGGTTTTCACTGCATGTGGACTGTAGGCCAAATCTATTTATTTTGACTTTGCTGAAGTCTGGGTATTACCACTTGTTGGCCTATGTTGCAGGACCACCGTCCTAGTGAGAGCATCTTACAACAAGCTGCTTTTGATACCTTACTAATTAAACTACCTTGGATAGGATTCCAGACAAACCTGACCATAAAATTTTGGCATTCTAATTTGGTTTCAATGTACTCTAAATGGTACAACTCTAGATCACATGGCAATTTTTCCATTCAGTTAAAACCTTAATAGATAGCATATAAGTGGCACAACTTTGAATTTAGCAAGCCCATAAATATTAACTTTGCCCCCAAACACTTTGGGGAAACGGATAATTCAAGGAACACACTGATGAATCTTAACATTATGCAAAAAATGTTCTTTGGTTTCTGTTTTTTGCTATACTGCACAGCATGAGGGATCTTAGTTCACCGACCAGGGATCCAACCACTGGACGGGCAGGGACATCCCCAAAATTTGTTCTTAAATTGTTGTACGACAACTGATTTTTCATAAATCAAATCACATTTGATAAGTACCACATAAAAGGGATTAATTATCTGAAGGCACCTTTTAGTGAATCCTTTTTGTAAAATTTAGAAGTCTCATATAACATAACTAACCACTACTTGTTTTGTAATCTTATACTTGTAAATATCAAAGTTCTTGAAGTGGAGCTTAACTGCTTTCTTGGGCTAAATACATCCCAGCATTACTGCCCTTCTCTCTCTTTCCCAAGTTTTAAAAATGTCACCCAAAAAACCAGCTGTTCATCTGTAGTAGAATATACAACACTAGGAAAGTCGAAAAAAGAAATTAAGTGATTTTTTAATGTAAAATAGAAATGTATGTACTCCCAAAGATAGGTCAACAAATTATTTTTGGCAATGATCACAATAAATGCCGAATTAAAATGATTTTTTAAAAAAATCAAGATATGCACTTCTTAAATCACTTTCCCACGTGCCTGTCACCTGGAGGAAACTGTTCAAGAGCTGTTGATCTCCATGAACACATGACCTCCACAATGGCACCAAGGTCAACGAGACATACAGGAGGGGGGTATGCTGAGTAAGTGCTGATTTGCCCAGTTCTACAGTTCCCTTTAAAAAGAGAGAAGGAAGATAAATAAAAATAAAAATGTATTTATATAGAACAGGAAAGGAAATGATGTTCTAAGTGGTTAACATTCAAGAACCCCATTACAGAATTGTATATAGACATATGTCAGTAACAGCCACAGGAGCAAGACGTTAAAAGGGGCATCACAGCACAGAACCAGGTACAACCAGGTACAAAAATTGCTGCACAGAAAGAATTAACAAGATACCAAACTGAAAAATCCTCCCTTACGTCTTGTACTGAAAACCTTTGGTACCCTGGCTACATGCTACAACGACTCAATTTCAAAGTGAGAGTCTTTGCTGACAGAACTTCTTGAAAAAAGACGAATAACCAAAGGTCCATAAACAACCGAAGAAGCACCCGCATATCAGAAATGCTCAGGTAAGAAGTAAATTTGTATATGCTGAACCTGCCAGTTAATGTGAAATTCACCAGGTGTCCCGGTGTTCCCTCATTCTTTACCAAAGATTCCTTTGGACATTTCCTCAGCTGTCACAATCCCCAACCTTTCAAAAACCAGAAGTTTTCTTGGATGAGATTTAAACTCTAAAACACATTACCCACTTGGTATAATCTGTTTAAGCTGGACTTATACGCAAAAAACCCTTATCATGTGAAATTACTATATTTCAAATTTCCAAACAACTTTCAAATATGAAACAAACATACATCAGAGGTAGCACCTGAAAATTTAAAAGTGACTTAGCGGAGAGCAATTCAGCTATGGATAATTCATTCCAACGTTTGGTAAACAGGTTGCATGCATTATAATAGTAGAAAACTAAAGAGGGGAAAGAAGTCAGCAGAAGCACTGGGTATTCACAATCAGCAGAGAACTGGGCTGACAGCAGTCTTCCAAGTTACTTTCAGGGAAGCTCCTGATTGGTGGGCGGCACTGGGTCAATGTGATTACTTAACCCTGGCAGTTACAACTAAACTCCACTTTGATGGGCTCCAAAGCTTATGACAAAAAGACGACTGCTTGAGCATATCAAGTACTTCGCTGTCCTGCTTCTATTTCTCTCTCACACAACCAGGGGCCTGACACCTGAAACTCATCAGAAAAACATCACCTCGTTTCGGGGCTTTAGAGTTTTGTATTTATTATTTTTAAAGTCCACTGGGCATAGATTCAGTTGGGGGGGGGGGTGGTGATGTGAAAGATTAACCCATTTCCTGAACACACAGGGAAGAGCTCATGACCATTCAAGCAGTTCCCTCTCTCCCTAGTAATAACTTTTTTAAAAAAAATATCATTTAGTCCTAAAATAACCATAAGCAACAAACATCAAACATTGGCATGGCAACGTCCACACATCATGCCCTAGTGCTACCCACAGGCAGATCTGTTCGTCTCTGGTCCCCATACAGGCGGGTCCTCCGGGTCCCTCTCGCTTTCGTCCGGTCCAGCAAGGCTTCCCCCCGAGTTTTGCTGTAAAATCCGCCACTTTCGTTGGCCCGGGCAAAAGCAAGGCGCCTCGGTCCCCAGGGCAGTTTCTCCCAACTCCCAGCAAACATTTCCTGAGCGCTTCCAGCGGGCCCCCCGCGCGCACCTGGCCGGGCCCCTCGCCCCCTCCCCGCACTTTACCAAGCCCCAGACAGGGGCCCACCTGCCTCCCGTCGCCTGTCCCACGGCCGGGTCGCCCAGCCAACTCCTGCCCAGAGGCTGCACTCCCCCGGGTCCCGAGCCCCCATCAATCCGGGGGCCGACCCCGAGGGTCAGGGGGCGCCAAAAGGGGCCCCCAGACAGGCTGACCCCGCGACGCCCCCCAGAGGCCGGGTCCCGCGCGCCTGTCAGCGTCCCCGGAAGGGGTCAGACAGGGGGGCTGAGCTCGCCGGGTGCCCTGTCCGCTCCTGACACCCTCGCCCCCCACCGCACTCACCTGGCGGGCTCCAGCCGAGGGGCCGGGCGAGGGGCTCCGGGGTCGCGCGAGGAGGCCGCCGGGCCGCCCGCCGCGGCCCCCAACCTCCCTCCCGCTCCCGCTCCCAATCCCGCTCCCGCTCCGGCTCCCGCTCCCTCTCCGGCTCCGGCCGGCGCGCGCCCCGGGCCCGACGCGCGCCCGGAGCGCCGGGGGGAGGGGGCGCGCGGACGCGCGAGTGCCGGGGGAGGGGGCGCGGCGAGAGCAGCGGCTCGGCGGCGTCGGCGGAGAGAAAACAGCCTCGTTCGCGTCCGTCATGGCGCGCAGCGGCTGCGGCGGCTCCCTCCGGCTTCCCGGCGCCCTCGCCTTTAGTTTGACCTTTCCCTCCAGTGTGTCTCAGGCAGAGCGTCGATGCGCGCGCGTGTGCATGTCTCTCTGTGTGTGTGCGCGCGCGCGCGCGGGGAAGGGGCCGGGTTCGCTCCCCGACGCCTGACGTCACTGCTATGGCAACGGAAGCCCCGCCCCTTGCCGCCTGTTTCCTGCCCCGCCCTCTGTGCACGTTCCGGGGCCTCACGTGCTCACTCACACGCACACACGCACGCACGCTCGGAGCGCGCGCGCCCAGAGCGTTGACGGGGGCGAGTTGGGAGGTCATCTGGGCCTCCTGGTAGCCTCCCTGAGTTCAACCAATCCAGTGAGGAGAAGCCGTGGGCGGGGCGGCCTCGGCTGCCAGAGCGGCGTGAAAAATTTCCCAAGGCAGAGCGAAAACCTTTCCTGAGCGACTGAGCATGCCCGGTGGTGAAAGGTGAGAATTGCCTGAAAGTTTAGGTGGGTGGAGGGGGAGGAGGTCCGGTAGAAGGGGAAGGGAGCTCCGGGGCCCAGTAGAGGGGTGTTTAACTGGTATCGAACTGGGACTGCGTGGTGTGAGAGTCAGGCAACCCCGGTTTGCAATCCGGCCCGGCCGCTGTTGCTGTGTGACCTTGGACGTGTTACTTAACCACTCTGAACTGAATGTCTTGAGTAAAATAGGGTTACTAAAATCTACCATTGTGGTTGTGAGAAGTAAAAGCGTGGAAAACGCCTCACCCGGCAAATTGTAGAGCCCAAACACTTAGTTATTAGTGTGGAGTCCACAGCCTCCTTATTTTACGAATGGGGACACAGGACTCAGGGAGATTAAGTGACCTGTTCAATGTCAGGTAGTGGCAGAGACCCAGGCTTCAAGTTCAGTACTCTTTCCTACATGGCCTTCCCTCAGGGAGAGGGGAAAAAAAACACACTACAGAAAAACATGTAAAGATCCTTTGCTCTCTGCGGATCCCTTTTTAATCCACACCAATTCTCTTCCCATGCCCCCGAAAGTTTTGAGCTCTGGACGTAAGGGCTGGACAGCCTTGGTGCAATTTTTGGAGGGCAGCTATTTGGCTCTCGATTTGTCCCTGAACAAGCAACAGAATGGTGCTTTCCTCAGTTCCCTTGGGGAGCCTAAATTTCTTCTAAAGTTTTGGTTAAAGTGTAAACACAGTAGCAAGGAGCTCCAGTTCCTCCACAATTTCTAGCTACCTGAGGAAAGATTAACTCAGTTAACCAATGTTTACCCAGCATCCACTGAGTAAGTAAGAATGCTTCTCCAGCCCACAAAAGGCCTGTGACCTCAGGTCTGTGCAGGTACCTTATGATTCAGACACACTGGTGACCTCATCGTTCCTTGTGCTTCTAGTCCTTTCTCTGACTTAGCTCTTAATCACTTACTGTCTCATGGTATTTCTTGAATGATATAGAACTATTTAACTCTAGATGTGCTGTTAACTTTTTAAAAGTATTTGTCTCCTTTCCTGTCTTATACACCCCCCCTCCCCAAAATACCTAAATCTGGTCTTGGTAAAGGACATCACCAGCTCCTCAAACATGCCCTTATATTCCCCACTGTCTCTCCAGAAATTAATTCACTTGAGCCTTTCAAATTCCACCTAAAACGTACTTGCTTCCAAAAGGTCTTGCTGGATCTATTCAGAATGAATTAGTCCCTTTTCCTGAGCACTTGGTACCTTCCTTGCTTCGGACATTGTTTCTAGTAGACTTTGTTTCTGTGATTTGTGCACAGGTCACCTAGAGAAAACTTCTCTGAACATCCATGTATGGGTTGGCTGTTCCTGTTCCTTGCTCTCATAGCATCTTATGGTCTAATATATTGCTTCTTACCCGTTCCTTTACAGTTTGATTTATTTTCCTTCTCCATCAGATGTAAAACCCTCTAATGGCAGGAAACATGTTTAGGTCCACTTTGCATTTCCAGCATTAACCTCAGTACCACAGCTATAGAACGACTAGGTATTGAATGGCTGAATGGGCTCCTTGCCTACTGCATAAAGTTCTTAGGGGCAGACTTTACTTTGTATTTATATCTCAGAACCAAAGATTTTCTGGGATGTTATAAATCTTGGACTACTCTAAAAGGCACTAGAAATTACATGGTCACACTCATGCAATGAAGGAAGGCTTTGACAGTAGCATAAAATACTGAGCAGAGCAAGAAGTAGGAAATCCAGGGAAAAAGAGGTGATTTCTTAACTGCTGCTGTGGACCTAGAATGAGAGATTTTCAAATGTTGTTAAGGATATCAAGCAGATTCCTCCAAGGTGTGTCAGTGATGTTCCTCCCAGAAAAGGGGAACAGTTATGCCAAGAGGAGTCTCGGAAAAGAGATCAAGCAGTGTTTGCTTACTCTGAACTGGTAGCATTTGTTCCTTTGCCTAACTGGGCACAAGAATCTAAAGCCTGGTGCTATTCCTGTGTGTAATATTGTTCTCCCTCTGCTACGCTATTTACCTATGTGTGTGTGTGTGAGTGTGTGTGTGTGTGTGTGTGTGTGTAGATGTGTGTAAATCCTTACCAAATCTAGTCCTCTTATTCCTCATCATGTGAATGGCACTGCCAAACACCCAATAGCAGGAGTCATTCTTAGTTTATCCCCATCTCCGTCTGTCAGTCTCTGAGTCCCATAACGTCTTCCTCTTAAATGGCGGTGGTAGCCATGAACTGCCCTCAGGCTCCATGTGAGCCCTCATATCTCTCATCTGGACAAAACCCTCCTACTTGGTCATTTCACTCCATCTTGGCAGGTCCAGCCCAACTTTTACCACATCCCAGACTCCAGAGGGACGTTTCTGAAAGCCAGAGAATTGACCATGTCCTCAAACAGCTTAAAAATCTTCCATGGCCCCTCCATGCCTCCTCAGGAAAAAAGATCACACTTCAGTGGGTTTTTTATGCTTCATCCTCAACCAATTTCTTCAGCCACGTCTCCCACTACTTTTGCAAGAACTCTTCTGCTCCGTGGGTGTTGAAAACTTGCAGCTTCTCATACATACCATGTTCTCTGTGCACAGGTTCACCTACCTGCGATTCTCTGCCCAGGCCCTCTCTACCAGGTTAATTGCATCTGTGCTTTCTAGGTCTATGAGGACAGTCATGCTTCATCCCTCTGGCATAGCTCTTCTTATTCTGTGTTGTGAATATACTCTATGTGCTCACATGTCTTATCTTCACTAGAATGTGAGCTACTTGAGGGCAGGGGTCTTGGCATATTTTATACCTGTATGGAACTCTAACACCTACCAGGGTGCCTGGCACAGGATAGATACTCAATAATTGTTTATTGAATAAATGAATGGATTATGAGCTCCATGAAGGAAAAAAAAGTATTACATTTCTTTGATTCTTCACAAAGCCAGGCCCAGTATCACGGAAGTAATAAGTAGGTACTTAAAGTAACAACAAATGAATGAAAGGGTAGTAATGAGATATTAAAAACCTACCATGCACCCCTCACCTTCCGAGATGGCCCACACTCTGTCTGTGGAGTGTGTATCTCCCCGAATAAAACTTCTTTCAACAAACAAAACAACCTACCATGTATCAGGGACTAAACTTAATACTTTCCATTCATTGGCTCAGTTAATCCCCCAGCAACCCTATACAGGAGACATTGGTATCTACATTCTGCAGATAAGGAAATCAAAGCTTAAGGAGGGGACACGACTGGGCCAAGGTCACACTGTTAGTTGTTGGCCAAGCCAGGATTTGATTTCAAGTTCACCTAACTTGGAAATGGACTATTACGGAAGGTATTCTGCTGCTGCTGCCGTAGTGATGGTGGTAGTACTGCTGGTGAGGATGACTTGGACATCTATTTTGTCATGACTGATAAGAAGCTCCTGCTTCTTATCAGAGAGATCAGTGCTCCCTGTGCTCCAACGGGAAGAAATGTGATGCCTTACCTGCAGTCAGTATGTACAAGTCAAGCTAAATGGAGGGGTCATATTTTTTCTTTTTCTTTGTTTTTTCCAGAATTATTTTTCTGTAACTGAAATAAAGATTACTTAGTTTGAAGATACAGATGTTGCACATGTAAGGATAAAATGTGTAAAATTGGTCTTTGGGATAGGAAGGACCCAGCTGAGGCCGTTTTGGAGGCTAGAAAATGAAAACTTTTTTGGGTTAGTAACATGGTCAGTTCATGAAGAGCAAAGGTGAATCTTAGTATTTAAAAGGCAATCCTTAAAAAGTTGGGTTAGGAAAAAAGACACTGGGTAAGTACCTCATTAGGAAGAGGCGGAGAACATTTGGTTCCTGTCTGGAGAGAGTCTCTTGCTCCAGGCTTACAGTACCAAGAGGCCCCTGGAGTTGGAGTGGGGCTCCCACAGAGTTACAAGCACACCCTTGACTGAAGGGCACGCTCCCCTCTCTGGGAAGGTCAACATCTTTGACCAGAACATAGACTTGTAGGGGGAGGTGGTGAATGAGGAAGAAGTGGGGAAGGGAGAGCCCACATCTACCCAGTTAGCCGACCAGCTCAATCAGTCCTGGTGATGAGCTAGGGAAACCAGCTGTTCTACCCTCATAGCCTGTTCAGACTGATACATTGAAATTAGCGGCTATGTGGATGCTGTACTCTGCACAACCCTAGGGGGAGCTATTTACATGGGTGTCTATATGAATGACATCCTCTGTACAGTACTCAGCGTGTAGCCGTCCTGATTGTAATATATTCAAGGCACATCTGTGTCTACTTTGGCAATTTAAATGATCCTGATTAAACCTTTGATAATACAAATAAATAAATATTTATTGACTGCCTACCAGTTATCATCTCAGAAATTTAAATGACATTTATTGTATAAAGTTATTTCTAACGATTTGTGCATATTTCAAAGTGCTTATTAGACTAATAGCATTACCATTCATTTATTAATTCTAATAAACAACAATTGAGCAGCTAAGTTCCAGGCATGATCCAAAAGGCTGGATTCAACAAACGTGTTGAACACTAACTACAAATCTTACAAAAACTATTAACTGATTCCTTCAAAAATAAAAGCTTATGCATTTTTGTAATTTGTTTATGCCACTTTACATATGAAGGTAGTCTCCAAAGCCTCTTTGTTTCATAGACACTCATCTACTAAAACCTGGTTCTTGCATTTCCAACACTCCAATATGCTAGGATGCCCCAGTGAATATAAAGCTTTTACATACTTTTTTTTTTTTTCCCCTCCTAGCTCTATCAAGAGAAGGGCCAGAAAGTTAAGTTGGCTGCTTTAAAGGTTTCCTGGAAGCACTAGGGAAACCATTTTTCATAGAGTAAGTGTGTGGCTGCATTGTCCAGGAAAGAGAGTGTAATCAGTCTTGGATCCCTGGATCACTCTGTGGAAGAATGCTAATCTCCACCTAGAAACATTTCATTTGGATTGTTAGATGAGCAAGAAATAAATGAAAATTGGGGGGTTTGTTTGCTTTAGCAGCA